CCCGCCTGGGCATCCCCGCTCCCGCCTGGGCATCCCCTCACCCGGCCGTGCCCCGGTGGGACGGGAGGGTGTCCGCGGAGCAAGGAGCTCGGCGGGCGGCTGGAAGCTGCAGGAGGGATGTGTGAGCGCAGCGGGACGGAGAGGCGACAGCAGCGGGGAGGTGTAGGTGGGACCCGGTTTGGGCTGCAGGTGTGGCAGCACCGCTGGGACGGAGCCCCCGCTGCCGCTTTGCTGCACACGGGAGAGGTGGGAGCCGGTCCGGGTTGCAGATGCAGCAGCGCGGTGTCTTGGTGGGATGAAGTCCGGATTGCAGGGGCCACAGCGGAGCAGGCAGGTGGGAGCTGGTCCGGACCGCAGGCGCAGACACGCGGTGTGGTTTGGGCTGGCGGTGCTGGTGCCGTTCGGACCGCAGGTGCAGGGGTAGAGCTGTGACGTGGTCCTGCACGTGTGGCTGCAACGTGGTGCAGGTTGCAGGTGTGATGTGCAGGCGGGATGTGGTCCCGCTGTGCCTGGGGCTGGCAGAGCTTCTCCCAGCCTGGAGTGGATGGATGGTGTGCCTGCGTCTGGGCTGGGCCACTCTCAGGCTTTTATTTTGACAGATTCTGTTATCCAGCGGTTTTCAGACTGCGTCTCCCAAGTCCTGCCCGGTTTTCCCACATAGTTCTTTCCAGCCTCATCCTCCCTTTTGCTCAATAACTCTGCAGTGATTAAATGGCTTCTTGCAACATGAGTATACAGAGCTGAATTCCAGAGCTCGTGGGTGGGGAAGGAGTGCTCAGACACACTGATTTTAGAAGAAATACCCCAAAACGGTGCTCGTGGTTGTCCCTCCTTGTACCAGATCAACACTGTGAGCTGTATGTTCTTTTTTGGATTCTTAAGACTGAAGAATTTCTCTGGGTAAACACAGTGCAAAACATCTCAGGCTCTCTGATAGACTGCAAGGAAACTTCTGGCTTAAGTTAGTTGAAAAGAAAAGTTGGAGTCAGCAGAGTTACTGTAAGTAAGGTTGCTGTTGTCCTACTGAACTTGCTCAGAATTTGGGCTGTCTGGCCGCTAATCTCATTTCTCTTCCATCGACTTAAGCTTATTTTTCCACTAAACAGAGGCTGCCAAAACTAGAGGGCAGGGGGGAGGGGATTGTAGGAATCTGTGAGGATATGAGATTTTTTTTTTTTGTCCTGTTTTATGTTAATAATCCTATTCTAGGCTGTCATCCAAAAATATTGCTGAAAAAATGCAAGCAGTGTACAAGACCCATTGTATAAAAGATAATCTAAATGTAGGACAGGAAGAGACCTGGCAGGTCAGCAAATCTAAACACAGAATGATACTATGCCTTATTGCACACTACTGTAATTCATTTGTTGCCAGCCTTCTGGGAAGGGGAAATTTCACATCTTTATTGAACTGATATTATAATTATTTCTCCAATATATGGCTTTCTCTTACTTTGTATTTATATTATGATTGCTTAGTTCTCTCTGGTACTTTTCTCTTATCAGTGTAGAAATGGGAGTTGCATGCTTTCCTCTTTCCTGCGCAATACCAAACAAGCTTCAACTTGCTGTCTGCTTTCATGAAGCAGGCTCCAGCTCCTGCTGATCCCTGTGGATGAGCTGGGCTTCTTAATCTCCAACTTCCCTGTGGATGAGCAGAGCTTCAAGGCTCAGGAGTCTGCCCTGTGCCTCTCATGCTCTGACACCTCACCTAGAAATAAATCCCTCACCAGGTAGGTGCTGCAATTAACCTCGTCCTCAGGTTCCTCCTGCCCCGTGATAAGGGGTGGGAAGCAGCTCTCATTATATTCCAGTCGTTTTATTAATCCCATTTTTATTGCATATCCTCATGTTCTGTACTGATTCAGTATTCCCTCAGCTTTCTCCCAATGTTCTGTCATGAAAGGAGTAGGATGGAGTCTTCCTCACTTGCAGTAGTGACCCTGCTAGACTCAGACTGACCCCTTCCATTTCATTGTCTGTCTGATCCTTCTAGGTCTGTACCCTGTTTATTACAATTTTTTGTCTTTCATTTGCAAACTTCAGATTCCGCTGGACTGCATAGCAAGTGGCTTCAAATGTGTTGTAAGCTGAACTTTACCCCTGTCTTGTGTGCCAGGTGTGCTGGACAGTTTTCCCAGAGTAGCTGAGCAGAAAATGTTTCTTACCAAAGCAAGCTAAGTTCCATTTTGTCCTTCTTTCCACACAATTTATTTCTATGGCATCCATTATTAGATGTGGGGTTTTCCTGCAGTGATTATTCTGCTGACGAGGGATGTTTAATCCCACCATTGTACTGCAACCAGCCATGAGTAGAAGATGGGTGTCATTTGGCAGTGGGTAGCAACACAGTGCTGCAGATTGGGCAGTGAACAGCATTCATTGATCTGAGACTGCTGAAGGGGCTTCAGACAAACTCACTGCTCATGTCTGAACTCAGGTTAAGCTCCCACTTGAATATCCTTGCTCTTAATATTTGCAGTAAGGTCTATCAATAATGATTCAGAGAAAATACCACCGAATCGACAAAGTCAGGTCATGGGGTCACACAGTGACACTGAACAAATCCTGCTCTGCTCAGTCCAAAATGCTGCAATTGGTAGGTGCAAATAAACATGAGGAGTTATCCCTGCTCCATTCATTAACATTGTACATTGCTTCTTATATAACTAGGTAAAAAATGCCTAAATATTTTGCAGAAGGCAGATGCAGCCCTGCAGTGTGATACCCCTTGTGTTCAGTGAATGACTACCTGCTTCTGACCTAATACATTGTGATTTGGCATTATCCACCAGGCTCAAGTTTATTCCAGTGTTTCTCAGCATTGCCTGTGCAGCAGTTTATCACACAGTGTTCATGAGCCTGGTCTTGCAGAGGCAGCCTTCATCTCCCACTGGCCAGAAAAGCACTGAGAGCACCAAATGCTGCAACAGAGCAGGCAAAACATTTGTATTTTAATTTTACTGAGATTTCTCCCATCCTGTGCTGTCAGCCAAAATGCTGAGAACAAATTCGGGGAAGGAAACAAGTCACATCAAATTCTGAGCCTTGACTGTCTCCTTCTAACAGAGGGCAGCTTCATGCTCACAGGTCTGGTGTGGGGCTGTCACACCATTCCAGTGGCTCTGCAGGCATGTTTTAAGGACTGGAGGGAAGCACAAATTGGGAATGCTTAAAAAAATCATATGGGTGACTTTTTAGTGCCTCTCAGATTCCTTCTCAAGGACAAGTATCATCTGGCTCCCTTTTCCTAGGGAAAAATAATGAGCAACAGCCAAGCTTTATGATTGCTACCAGATAATGTCAGTGGTAGATGAGCTGATTTTATCAAACTGAATACGGAAGAAAATAGGGTGTGGGGTTCAAGCATGAGCCCCTGAGTCATAGCCTGGCATCTACAGGAGTGCCCGAAATGAAAAGTAAGTGATTGTGTGATGTGGCAGAAGAACATTTGTTGCTGCTTTGTCAGCCAGCCTTTCACATCTGCAGAAAGCATCAGGAGAGCATCTAACAGCACGGTGGGTCTTCTGTTTGATGGAATGAACACATATTGTGCACGGATTCAGCAGTTTCTACTATTTTAATACCTGAGCTGGCTTTTCAAAGTGCTGGGAATGCTGGAGCCACAGATCAATGAGAATCTTAGGCAAGCAATAGTGTTTGCAAAAAGCTCTGTAGCATTTGATGGTGTATTTCAAGGTCTCTGAAAAACTGGCTGAGCTGATAAAGGACACCAGACAAAGACAGAAAGGCCTGGGAGACACTCAATGAAGTCCTCATTGCAGCTTTGGAGTCACTCAGCTGATTCCAAAATGTTTAATGACCCCAGAAGAAATGGCTCCCTTCAGAAGGGACATTGCTCCAGCACTACTTCCACATCACAGGTACAGAGAAATGAAGAGCTGCCAAATGCTGTAGTTGGTCAGGCCTGATGTTGAACTTGGCATGGTTGTAGTGCTACTTGGCATTGACTTCCCACTTGTTATTTTTACCAGGACCACTATTCAGCTGAGGTGTGAGCAGTATTAATTTTGTGGAATGTCTGAGGGCAGAGGAGGGATTTGCTTGTTGTGTTGCTGCTCCATTAGAGTCTGTTGCTCCTTGGGGCTGAGGACTTCCCCACAAGGTAGACAAGGGAAGCTTCAGCTGATGGTTTGCATTGCTGCTCACAGAGTACCTACAAGCTCTCTGACACTGATTCCACCCCAAACCCAACTTGCACAGCCTTCTATTGCCTCTGCTGCTCACAAGCTGATGGCTAATGCTAACATAGGACATCACCAGTGGCAGCTGGCCACCTTGGAACTATGTGGGTCTCCACTTTTCCAGATGGGAAAGCTGAGTCACATTTTAACAAGCAAGGACATCAGAGAAATTTGGAGATCACTCCAGGAAAGTGTGGGAAAGGAGGCATCCTGCAACCATAAACCCTCTATAATTAGTTGTACTTTAAAATGGAAAATGGTTTTGCGATTGCAGAGGTCAAATGAGCTCTGCTCCTGTCTGCTCTGCACTAGGAGCCATGGCCACCTGTCCCACCCCTTCCCTGTGTTCCCCAGAGGGAAGGACATTCCAGCCCCACTCCTGTCCCTGGGACTGCAAGGCGAGCCCTTGGCTTGCAGGAGGCACAGCCTGTCCCAAGCACACCCTGGCCAGCAGAGGGGCTGAAGGCAGGGAAGCAGCAGAGCCCCTTTCCTCTCTCCAGATCAATGAATGAGGTTGGCATCATCTTGATTGATTGATTTATTTATTTATAATTTTGGTGATCAGCTCTGCTTTTGTCTGTGTAGCTAAGGCATAACTGTGTTACATTCCGCTCCGTGGGTTAAATTGCATTATTCTTAATGAGGCAGCTATCTCCACGCTGCTTCTGTTCTTCTGGTTCCCCCTTTCTGGGAGCTGTCTGCTCTTTGCCTGTCCTGCTTTTCTGTTAAGTCATTCCTGAGCATTGGCTGGAAGCAGTGAGCTAAGCATTAGCTTTATTTTCTGACAGAGGCCCCAGTTGGGAACAGAAGTCCCCACAGAACACAGCAGCAGCTTTTTGTGAGCAGTGCTTTTCCTCCCACAGCCTACCGAGAAGTCAAACTGTGGCAAATCAACTCATTCCAGCGTCTGGCCCAGATCAAGGTACTTCACCTAAACAAGAGGATGGTCCCTGCTGCCACAGGCTTTCCCCCTGGGAGAGGGTGCACCCCTCACGGGCTGGATGTGCCACCCAGGGGGCTGCAGGAGGAGAGGCAAAGCCACACAGCCTTCCCTGGACCTCGTGCACTGGCTCATCTCTTCCATCAGCACTGCAGCGCTGAGCCCGTTCCCTCTGTCCCAGAGGGTCCCTTGGGGGCACAGGCTGGCACTGGGGGGTTGTGGGGTGAATCTCTGGGGTGAACCCCTGGGGTTTGCCCCTCGCAGCCCACAGCTGTACATGCTGGGCAGCTGGCTCTGCCGCATCAGCCGTGTGAGTAAGCCTCCCTCCTGCCCCAGAAACAGCCACAATCTCCTCTGTGCGTTTCTAGCTCAGAAAAGGCTGATTCATTCTCTGAAGCAGATTAATTACTTCTGCTATTTAGAAAAGAAAAAAAAGAAAAAAAGGAGAAATCCTTTAGAATCGGTCGGCTTAACTTTCAACTGCGTGCACAATGCAGTGAAGCAAATCTGCTCTGAGGCAGAGCAAAAGAGTTCACACGGAGTAAGAAACTGGGGGTTACAATATTTACCTGTCATGTCAGCAGTGGGCTCTGCAATTTAGAAGGTAGTTGTGAATGTGTCTTCTTTTCGGCTTATATGACAACTGGTGCAAATGTGAGCCTGCCATGGTGAACTGGGGAACAAATGTTTTTATTCCCTGATACGTTTTATAACTTGTTTCCTTCCTGGTTTGTGTCATAGCTATGTGGCAGCCGGCTCCCTGAGTAGCTCTCATCTGAAACCTGGCTGAGTTGTTCCATTTCTCCCTTGGAAGGCTGCTTTCCAGCCTGCCTGGCTGTGCTCACTTGTTTATGC